TCGAACCGAATCCGACACGTTGGGAGAACACGATGGGAATGTAATGCTGCAGGGAAGATAGGGGTGAATCATGGCAACGCAATATTGATTCAATGTTAGAGTCCCACGCCAAATCCCTATTGGTTTTGGGACTTATCAAGACTGTGCTCAGGAGTAGAGACAGCGATCAAACACGATTGGACTTGTTGATTCAGCTTCCTGCTAAACCAAGGGAGACTATCTGTCCAAGTCAATGTATGAACCTGGCCAAGGCCGCCATTTCAATAAGAGCCCCTCCTTTTTTCAGGGTCAGCGGCTAATTGCCATGGGCCATATCGGTGTGAGGCCAGATTGTTTAAGAATTTCCCAACGTTCCCGGTGCTCCCTCAAGCTGACTAGTCACTAGTCTGCACTGAGATTCCTGAGCTGCTTCTCAACTGAACTCGCACCACTCGAGAGGATTGCAGCACTCCGATGAGGAATGTACTTGATGGCTCCTTATGTGTGCATCTGCGTTATGGGAATTTTGTTTTTGTGTGTTGATCCAGGCTTCAAAGTTGGCACCGCAGAATGGCCTCATAATGCCATCTGGCGACAATGACAGGGACGAAGGAGGAAAAATATTAAGGTCTGTCAGATTGCTCCGTAGCATGGTAGAGAATCACTCTGCTGGGCGAAGCATAAAGCTCTAAGCACTCCTCTGCCGGACAAGCCCCAAGAGGTTAGAATTGCAAGGCAAGGCAATGAAGCCTGCAAAGCACATAAATCTATAATTAGGTGAAGATCTGACAGCGGTACCGAGTTGAGGAAGTAGGGCCAATAGGGATCTTCCAAAGAAAGGACTGTTCAAGGATGTACCAACAAAAGAGGTTGATCGCCATAGGAAGTTCAACCATTCGGGGACTATACTCAAAATTGCAAACTTGAATGAGATCTTGTTCTTCAGACGTCAAACCTGCTACAACGACCGTGCAGAGCTCTCAGAGCGAAATTTGCCTCTCAATCATGCGTTGCATGATGGCAGGACGGGCTACGGCCAGGGAAGGTCTCCATTCCCCTGACAAAAACAGCTGTCCTTGCCCACCAGAAGAAGACATCACTTGTTTGGTAGTTTCCCAAAATAGTGCCAATGCAAAAATTCAATAATCCTCATTATCGGGACCCTCCAACAGGTACTCCTAATTTGGGGAAACCCCGGGTTGAGATTCAGAGAAGCCAGTGCTTGCAAGAGGGGTGGGTCTTATGCTCCTCACACAGAGGTAAGCATCATGGATCATGGCTTCCTACTGTACCAACCCCTCTTTACCACAGCCCCCTCACCTTAGGCTTGCTGTTCTTAAGCTGAATTGAAGCCCAAACGGGGGTAGTACAGAGAGGGGTGGTTAGGGAACCCATAATCCTCACCCAGAGGTACGTAGACATGAAGCGGGGTAAGCCAGCCATGGCCGAACCAAAGGCACGCGCTCAGGTCAAAGAGAAGCTTGCCTCTCCCAAGAGAAGAATTTTCAACTGTTTCAGTTAAGGCCTTGTAATAAGTAATGGAACATTTGAAGCAGGAAATGGAGATGAACAGATATTCAGGTAAGGGGTATGGGTCATTTTTAAAAGCGTGGGTCTTCCGCATCCCCTGCATCGAAAGCCTGGGCCACTCTTAAGCCCATCATGCCCAAGAGTGGGCCCTGTTTGGAGAAAGCTGGAGTTGTTTTTTCCCATCGAGCTGTCATGAAAGGAAATCTGGTGCGTTGTCACTGCTTCCCAGCTTTGTAGACGCAGGGAATGTATCCCCGTCTCGGATTTTCGTGGACGCAGGGAAGCCATTGGAGTTCTATGTGCCTCCTTGCTGCCAGGTCTGTTCTTGGAAGCATTTTCTGCTTACTCCACTGAGTGCTGTAGTGAAAGCACGTTTCCCGACAAAGACCGTAGCTAGATATGAATCCACGTAGAGAAATCCTGCTACGCTTAGTATGCAAAGAGAGTTAGAGCTCCTTCACTTTTTATGTTCAAGGTAGAGACGTCAATGACAAGAAGAACTGACAAATGGCCTCCAGAATCCTTCGCTCTAAAGCCTCAAGGAGCCTAAACCTGAAACAGACCAAGTTCTCAAGAGCAATCCAGGCGATGGCAGCAAAAAGCTCCGAGCGCTTGTTACGGACGCTTGGTTGGCGTGCAGCTGCCCAAAAGTGAAGGCTGACCGTGAGGTCAGCCACAGTCAAAAATCTCCGATCCCTCGTATGTTTTCCGACGTAGTACTAGTAGTATTCTTTCAACATATGGGATTCAAATACTCATTCTAATCATTGTGCTTCTGTTGCAACAAGATTGAGGGCTCTGTAAACAGCCTAGTGAAGCATTGACCCAGGAAGGGGGTGGCGTCATCGTGACTAAGCTTGCAGACGGCGTCGTGAACATCCTCCCAGAGGCCGAATCGAAGCATGCCTTTCAACATTCAATCCCAGAATCAAGGTTTTCAGGCAACAACGGCACGCGACGCAGTTGCACGATGTTTTCTAAACTTATTTGGAGTTGCTCAAGCTGCAGAAGACCAGGAGCCACTGTGTGAGTACGTAGCCTGCTCGCGAAGATTCAGTGCGGTCAGGCAAGGAGCTCGGAAACGCCGCACCCCAGCCCGTGAGCACTACGTGCCAGATCCTAAACCGTGATGACACTTCTTGAACCCCTAAACCCTCTGCGTTTGTCTCTATACCTGGTCACTATGCCCACGCGGCGCGCTGGGCCTAAGGCCTGCCGGTCTTGCAATCCAGGACACAGACGAATTTGCTTTTGCCTTCTCCCATTCACATTCCCCTTGGCCTTGAGTTGCAGGACTCCTTTCCACGACCACATCTCTCATAGCCATCCACTCTCAGGCTTTCCGGTCACGCTGCTGTCCCGGCTCTGCTTGAGAATGGGCCAGCTCTGCAAACCCTCCCCTCAAATCAACTGTCCACACAGCGTAATTCCAGGCTTCCGTTTTTGTTGAGGTTTGGGCGCGCCCGTACACATTTCAACGACCTTTTGCTGGCACAGCAATTCGGGAACAACTTCTGCCTGCAGCTCCTTCATCTTCAAAGCTGGGGCGCGGCGATCTTATGACATCAGGGACGTCATGGCTCCCTTACAACTAACTTCTGCTGGTGCCGTCGCAGCTCTCCGGCAACGCATCCAACGCCAGTGTCTCTTGCCACTGCCTTTCTTTTTCGTCAGCACACCAGCAAAGCAGCTTGCCCCAAGCTGGATACTTTCTGAAGCGCAAAGCTTTGTCACGCACACCTTTTTTCAGTGTTCGCGCTCAGGCCTTGAGGCTCATAACTTGCGTTTGACTTTAAGCCTGGCCACCATTCCCACCCACACAGGCGAGCACAGCCACCTGAACAGGCTGCCTCTACCCGTGTGACGCACTGGGGCTAAGGCCTGCGGATCTTGCAATCAGAGACACAGACAGATGTTTTTGTTTGACATTCGCACCCTCCACTCTAAGCCCGTTGCGCCAACCTCTTTAACGTTAGCTAAGGACCTAGCCGTAAATAGTCCCCAGAATCCAGAGATCCTTCTGCCAACATCCGGAAGCCGCGAGGCTTGGGGAATAACCCACCGGCAAAGCGATTCGCCGGGGCAGCCTCAGGCCATCTCTTGCCGCTTCATTACCGACTCGGTGACGAAAGGGAGGCCCGGAGTGCTTGAAAAGGGTGGTATCTTGGGAGCGTTAGTTGTTGGGATTTACATGCCTGTCGAAAAGGATTTAGGTAGGAAGTTGAATAAACGAAACGGAGCAAAACAGCGAAGAGCGCGGCATAGATAAGTGCGAAGCCCAGTCACCTTCCTCGTACTAATTAATAGGAAATTCTAGATATATATATATATATGCATAAAATAAAGCCTATAGAGCTCCAGTTTCCACCTTATCTTCCATCTGATTCTTCATTACAGGGTTTGTTGTACAGGACCCTGACGGTACCAGGCTCCAGCAGAGGAAAGCCTACATTGTCGGGCCCAGTCGAGACTCGGAGCTCCATAATTTCAGGGTTAACTATAGGGGTTATATAGGGGCTATATAGGGTTTAGGGTCTCAGATAGAATGTAGGGTTTGGGGTTTACTTAGGGTATAGTCCCCCTTAAGTAGATAGAATATGGGGTAAATGGGATCTTATATTATAATATACACCAAGCCATAGTCTATCTACTTAAGGGGGACTATAACTTGTGTTTACCTAAATTAGGGGTACCCTTTTGGGAGTCCCTATAGTAAGGACTACACTGTTTTGGGGTCTACATTGGGATGCCCTCTTGTTATGCAAAGTACAACTTCTTGTTGCTGGTACTTCGGCATGAAGGAATAAGGAGATCGGCCCTGTGATAGGGGATTATTTAGGGACCAACGGCTAACGGATGTTTACGAGTGGTAGGGTAGTTATAACCTGCTTGCAACATCTGGAAGTTTTTGAGAGTTGAAGGGTTCGCATACCCCAACCAGCCTCCAAAACGTTCAGGATGGTTGGATCCCAGAAGAGGTCCTAGCAGTTCTAGCAAGAACTTTAGGTTCCTTGGAGAAAGTCATGTTGATTGGTGGTGGTGGGAAGCCACTTTTGCCAGGATGTCCACCCATCAGCTTGCCAAACGCAAGGGACCACATAGCTAGAAACCAAGTCAAAGTAGCGCTTGAACTCTTTGCCATGAAGAGGCCAACCTAAGTACTCAAATGCTGTAGATTCAGGGTTGGGTGCAATCACATCTGAAGATTCTTAAATACTACGCCTATCTGGAAGTAGGAAGGGCTGAGGAAGCAGCAATGGCAATCCAGGCCACGTGGAATCCTAAGCCTTAGGATTGATTTTGCTGGCTATTTTCCGCTGGCTGCATGTGTGTACGTTGCCTGTACAGGGGTGCAAATGCATGCTGATGCGCTATGGAACCTTCCCCAGAGTTGGAACGGCGCGCTGAACGGAACTATAGAAACAAATCGTCAACCCTGAAAACCCCAAGGAGGCATTCTGGCAGATGCAGTTCTGCCAGCGCCGGCAGAGCTCGAGGAGGATGGCAAGGCTGCCAAATTTTCAAAGGTGTTTAGGATTGAGAAGTGCTAGACACTTGGGGGAGTATTCTGCCCACTTGTTCTGAGGGAAAACATACCCTCCATTGTCTAGAGTTTTTAGCACGTCAGGGTTTAGGGTTTTGGGGAAGCACGTCGGGTGTTTTGGCTCTTGTTGTCGGCGTTCCTCGAGCTGTAGGGTTGTAAAGCTAGTACTCAGCGATCTATTACACATGGTGAAATTCAGTAGTTTCTGATGTGGGGTGTCCATGGTAAAGTTTAAACTTACAGGACCTAGAAATGTACAGACATTTAAAGTGGGTTTCTGAGGCCCAAGTGATGGCCCCACCCCAGTGTCTCCATGTCCCGCCGTATGAACCAACATCGCGGAAGCACAAGATTCCCACCCACACCCTAGCCACCTGACTATTCCTCTGTGATTACTATTATTACCATTTTTACTGAGCTCCCAGGGGAAGCCTGAGAGGAAGAAGTTCACCACAGAGGATGACGCTGCACTTCTCAGGTGGGAATTGGGCTAGGGTTTGGGCTTGACTCTCCGGCCTAAAGATGTCTCAAGGGGGTTTAGAGCGTAGGCTTTCGGGACACATGTGGGGCGGGCTTCTTGCTAACCTTAGTAAGGATGGAGGGAACGGATGGATGAATTCCTTCATTTTCTATTACGTGGACCAGTAAGTGCACACGCTCATTGGCTTTTGTTTTGGAGTGCGCCTCTCTTTTCCGTTTGTATTGGTGGGCCTTTACATTCCCGTAGGAGAGGTGGATCATTCTGAACTCTGGTTGTCTCATACATATGGCGTCTTCTGTGAGGTGGGGACATTACACGGATGTTACTTTTCCTTGCTTCTGCTGGTAGACCTTCCGCCGCCACCCGTCGCGATTGAAATCGCAAAGTCCCAGGCCCAAACTGCAATGCCACAGATTTCAACCTGCCTGAAGGTGGATCCGGCAGAACCCTACGCTCAGAACGCAGGGACGGGAATCTTGGCGTGCCAATGTTACATCGCGTTGTGATTGTTTCGTTAGGCCATGTCAGGCATGCTTTTTCTTTAAGCTTGGGTGTCTGCTGACCCAATGTGCCTTTTGCGCTAACCTACTCCTTTTATTCCTGCACATGTTAGTATCAACTAGCCCTGTCAGTCGCAGAGTGAAGCACTAAGGAGTTGTGGGAACGTGCCCAGCAGGCGAAAATCACAAAGCATTCCTGGCAATCGATGCAAAACCATTTCCGCAGGAAGCCTCGCACGCACGGCTTCGGGATTGGGATTTGCGGTCTGGGGGGTACGGTTCTGTTGGGGGCTTCAGAATGAACACTTCTCTGCCTCCTGCAAGTTTCACAGTCTACCAGGAGGAAATGTGCTTTTATGGTTTTTTGGATGGAGGTAGCTAACCTGAAACGCAAGCTCTTACCCCTAAAGCCCTAAGCCCTAGCAGTAAATCTTGAAGAGGCCTCACTCCCTCAACCATGCAATCAAGAGCACCTGTGGAGGTCAGCATCGTTTTTACTGTTTAGCTGCTAAGTCTAGCCTCATGCTTTATCCTCGTAGACTCCATATACTTGTAGCTCTTCGAAGCGTGTCTTGCATAGAATCCTGAAGTTCTTCATCTATGATGCCCAGGAAACTCTGCGATCAGAAAGCCAGGGACAAGCCTGGAGCTCTGGCGGTGGCGCTTGAGCGAGAAGCAGCTGCAAAACCCGTCCAAGAAAAGGATGAGGATGGCAAGGACAAAGGTTTGTGGGGGTTTGGGGTTTTAGGGTTTGGGTTGAGAGATCAGGGTTCAAAGTTTATGGACCTTGGTGCTTTGGGCCTGAGATTTGGGAATCAGGGATGGGGAAGCACGGTGGGCTCTGAAAATTATCGTTCCGGCTTGCTTGGAGCCCTTGGTGAGCAAAGGCGAGGTCCATTGATTAAGGATATGCAGTGGGAACCTGAATTCGACAAATTACTTTACATGCACTGTTTTGAGGTTGGGAGTTTTGGGTCAGGAACCATTGAGTAGGTAGTTTCGCAACTCGCACATTAAGACCGAAAGCTTTGTGGGGATCATGACAGGCCTACCAGTCTTCCAAGTATGGTTGGGATGTTTGGGTTTGAGGTTAGGGTCTAGAGTTTGTGTTAGGGTTATTTTAGGTTCGTTTGGGGATTGGGCATTCCTGCTGGTGATTGCTTAGAGTTTCCATGACTAAGCATCCAGGACCTGTGTGCGCATGGGGCTGTTGCATTTAATCTTCCGAATGTTCCCTGTGCTTCGGCAGAAGAGGGAGTGTTCGCACCCCAGATAATTGCCAGGCAAAATTGTGAGTAAGCATTCTGGTGAACCAACCCGCCAACATGAACCAAATCAATCCCAAAACTAGCACCTTGTTGCAATCCGGTCCAATAGGTGTTTGAGTCAAAACATCAGGAGCGGCTGAATTCTGATCTGTATCCCAAGCCCTAGGCCCTAGCCCCTGAACCCCAATCAGCAAAGCCGTTAAGCGCCAACCCCCAGACGTAGACCCAACGACCACAAAACCTCGAAATTCCAAATGCTCATCCCTGAACCTGAAACCCAAAGCCCGCAACCCTAAACCAAGCCCCAAATCCTAAGCCATAGATCCCTAAACCCTAAGCCCCATTTCAGGATGCCAAGCCGGAAAGGAAGAGACCCAGACCTGCTCCTCCTAAACCCAGCTTCGCAGGTCGGGGGGAAGGGTGGGTGGGTTGGGGGGTATGGGCTTGGGTTTAAGATTTAAGGTTAGGTTCAAACTTTATGGGGTTCAGGGTTTATGGGGGCTAAGGGTGTAGGGTTTACTGTGTAGGTTTAGTAGACGTTATCAGGATTCAGGGTCTACGGGTTTTTAATGTAGGGTATAGGGACAAGTGCAGGGGTTTGGTAAGAGCTTGGGTTCAGAAAGCTAGGGGTTTTTCGTAAACCTTACACCCCGGACCCCCTGTCCTCAGCCCCAAAACTCAACACCCTAAGCCTGAGTCCTGAGCCCCAAGCCTTGCTCAGTCACTGTTCATTACTGGGCTTTGACTTCTGATCCCCCTAGGTTTGTATGGCTTACACCAAATGGTGAGAAGGGTTACACATTAGCCCCCTGCTGCAGCAGAGGCTGGCCAAAAAATGAGCTTGCAGAAGCGCCTGCCTGGCTGCGGGCAACGCAGAAGCTAGATTTCTGTTATTCTGTGGGTTTTGGGGTGAAGGTTCTTCTTGCAGTAGATTGGGTCGTCCTTAGTTTTAGTAAAGTGTTGGGAGCTTAGGAACGATTAGGGTCACTCTCTACATGCTAAGCTCCGATTGCTTTGCGCAAAAAATCCAGTGTTTTCCAAACTCAATCTTTCAGTCCGGCAGTGGAAGCCTCTAAACTTGAAACTTCAGATCCGAAGCACATTCAGCTACTTTTCAAATTGTATCATCTACTGTTGATGGACATAATCGTGTATGACCCTGTGTTTGTCCATCCGCTGTCTGATCAGGAAAGCCCGTGGACCTCCTCCTGACCTTTCCGATCTCTGAGCTGGCTGTTGGTATAGAGCCTTCTAATATTCCCCAGTAGAACAGCTTAAGACAAAATGCTTTCCAGCGGTTTTGGAAAGTTAGGGTATGATTGATTGTGAGAGACGTTTGGAGGCCAAACGGAACTTCTCTTCCAGCCCGGGTTACGAACCAACGGACAGTGAAGTTTCACAAAGGCGGAGGGTCCTTCGGGATGTTCATCGTATGTTCAGCAACATAGATTAGATCTTCAGAACATGAAGGGTTGAATATGATGATCAAAAGTGCAGATGCCGAGATGTTTTACTAGGACTGCGGGTGATCATTTCGCTCTTTGAAAGATTCTTGGAAGGGGGAGACGGTGAGCCAGGAGAAGGCACCCAAATCCGAAAGTGCTCAGAATTCAGATGATGCGGCTGGGAAAAGAAACAAGAAGCAGATTGGGTGCACTGCTTCACATGTTTTTCAAAGTAGCCCTGAGTGACGGGGTGCCATTGCGACGAGAAGGACCCTCGTATTGGCAGAGTTATGGCAAAGTCATGGCAGGCAGCCCGTTGTGGACGCACCCTCCAAGTTGACCTCTTTGGCTTCATCGTGCAGGAGTTTTTACTTTGTTCGGGGGTCAAAAGAGATCCTTCGAGAAGCTCGAGTAAAGACACGGTGTACAATCATGGCATGTAGGGCAGGTAGCTACCTCTTCACTGGCTGCCCGCATGTATGTGACACCAAGTACATCCTGCAAACACCTGCACAACATGACCAGTTCGCTTGACCGGCCCTTCAGCAGAAGCAAGCCTTTTCCACAACCCACCTTTACAGGCTGTGGCATTCTCATCATAGCCTGAAAAGACCCCCAGAATCGAGAAGCAACTGGCTGTCCAGCATTCAAAAACTGATGATGTACAGTGCACAGGCTAGGCCAAGCATCCGTCCTTCCGAAAGAACCCTGACAATCACAGCCCCGCCCGTCGCAAACCAGGCCCTTTGAAGCCTCATCTCCAACCCGAATAAGCCTGATTTCGCGGACGATCATATTAACAAAAATCATGACACGTCAAGGTGGTATCGGCGCAATTGTCGGCAAGCATTCACGTATGACCGCAAGTGTGACATAGCAACAACTCTTGCCGTCGTCGTCATCATCATCATCATCATCGCTGCAGCGAAGCCAGGCTTTCTTGATGAAAGCGACCCTCCCTGAAGTCCCGACCTCTGCCAGGCGCGAGGAGATCCCTGCGGCTCCAGCATCGATTGTGGCGGACAGTGAACTCTCAGAGGACTGGTTGAAGTTTCGGGCTTCTGATATCCTAGTGCTAGTGATATGTATAGGGGTACTGCAAGGCTCAGAAGTACGTGTAAGAGAGGCATTATGAGAATAAGGAACTTATTACCCGCATTTTCAAGGAGCTTCCTACCATGAAGCTCTGGACTGAGGAGGGTTGAAGGAGGGATGTTTATCGCGGCATACATCCCTCACCTAATTTCAATCGGGCGGTTTGCTTCACGTGGTCGGAGTAGCAGTATCGCAAGGTCATCAGCAATCAGCTCTAAGCTCAAAACCTCTTACTGGTGTCAAGGATTCTGGGGGCCAAGCCCCTAAACCGCTATGCTGACACTTGTAGTGAAAGCCTGGCGATGGTGGCCTGTAGTAGGTTGAGATCCGGCAACTTTGGGAAAGGTTGATTATGGAACAGGTACACTGTTGGGGGCATCTGGGAGGAATCAGGATACCAGCTTTGAGATCTACGTTGCCCTGGATTTTTGATGCAAAGGACCATGAAGGCTGGCCGCAGCTGTTTCTGATCATTCCCGCCCCGCTCTGTGGGCACTAAGGCCGGATGCTGCGTGTCTTCCAGACTTCGGGCAAAGAAATCTTGGCACTTCCGTTTGAAGAGTTCCTCAAGATGTCAGGTAAGGGTGAGCAACCCGTCCACGCAGAGGATCTGAAGCGCCACTTGCAGGGCCTGTGTGGACAGCCACGGTTCAGGCAGCGATTGCTGCTTCCAGACGGCCAGATCTTGTTGGACGATGCTGCTCTGAACGGTCCCTTAGACGTGCAGCTCATCTTGCTGCCTTTCAGGCCAAGCTCAGACGAGCAAATCCGCCAGCTCACACGTGCTGCGAGTCAGAGCGACATGCAAGCACTGGAACAACTCCTGCTGAGGCCACAAGACCCCAATTTGCAATATGGATTCCGCACTCCTCTGTTCGCGGCGTGCGCCACTGGCTCTGTGGACGCTGTCCGTTTGCTGCTGGAGGCTTGTGCTGATAAGGACTGGGCCGACGCTGCTGGTGCAACCCCGATGTATATGCCATGTTGGAAAGGTAACGTGGAAGTAGTACGCCTGCTACTGGAGGCCAATGCTGACAAGGATAAGGCCATGCAGGACAGCAAGACTCCCATCTATGTGGCATCATGCAACGGCAACATTGAAGTAGTCCGGGTGCTGCTGGAGGCCAAGGCTGACAAGGACAAGGCTGACGCCTCAGGGGAAATCCCAATGTCGGCGGCATCAAAGAATGGGCACACAGAAGTCGTCCAGCTACTCCTGCATGCGAGCCGCGAAATTTCATGAGGTTTGCATACGCTGCCTTTGTTGTAGTCTTTCTTGCTTGTCTCGAGATAGCACAAAGCATGCTACCGCAGGCGAGAAGGAAAAGTTTTGTGAAGCTTGCATGTGGACGACACATAATTTCGAGAGGAACACGTACTGTTAGAGTGTTTCTGCCCTCATGCTTGTCTGAACAAGTTGCTTCATCGTCCAAGAAGCATCTCCACATCTGATGGCAACCACTATCCCAAACCTCCGAACATTCCCGGTGCACCCAAACCTTGAAACCCTGCACCCCGCCTTTAGGCAAGTTTTCCTTGCTGAGCGTCAGCCCTGGGAGGACATCCTTCGTTTCGACTTCCCCCTGGATGGAGAGGCTTTCCATAATCTGCAGACATGGGGAGGTTCTTGAAACTATGAGCCCTAGAGATCATGATTTCAGGGTGTCAATCAAGAGTACCCCGTCTTTCGATCTGCTTCCATAACCGGTTTTCAACATCGCGTGTCTTTTTTCTGGCCGCAGGAAAAGTGGCGTCGGAAGAGTTCGGGAGGGGCTGTGCACAAGCGAAGTTGCCATGCGCTAGCAGACTGCCTCGAGCCACTTCTTCCGCTATCCAAGTCTTTAGGGTTGAGAGCAGTATTTGGCCAACTGTCTGACCTCTACTGCGTGGACTTTTCTAATGATTGCGAACAGACTTTCCTTTTCTGAGTATTACTTGTACTGATGTGTGATGATTTAGGGCTGTAGAATTCTCTCACGTTCCTTCAGTGAAGTTCCTTACGTGCCCCCCTGTATAGATCTCACGAGACCCGCCTAGAACCCGTGTCACATGGTTCTGTCATGCTAGGGATTTATTGGGCCGTCCCACGGTTGATGTTTTTTTGTGGTTGTAAACCCCGATCCTCGAGACTCAGAAGTGTTCCTGGTCTGTATTGTTGCCTCATGCAGGGGAACCATTCTGAGACTGCATTTTTGAACACATCTTGGGTCTAAGGTGGGCTAGAGTTCCCTGAGCCACAAACCAAAAGCTGTGCAGCAGGCTGAAATGCTGCAACCACAGCTCATCTTTCCTCCAGAGGCTGTTAATGCAAGATGTTGATTGTGGTTTTGGATCTTGTTGTTGGGCGGGGACTGAGATAGGTATGTATTGGGTATAGACGGTGTTGGGGTCATAGGATTAGGGGCTTAGGGCTAGGCAGCTAGGGTTTTCTTGAGGTTTTGTTGGGTATAGATCGGCTTCCTGAGGAATCTAGGCAAGTATATACAGGGGAGTGCTGACAGTATCTGAAGGTATACATCTTACCGCAAGTATGAGCGCTTTGTAGGGTTCGAAACGTATTTGAGACACAGGGTATGTAAGTCATTCATTGATTATGAGGAATCATCCATCAGTAATGTTCTCCAAATCACAGTATAAGAAGCAATGTGCCGGTAGCAGGGCACGCTGGGTCTGTGGTTGGATTGTAAGTTCCAAGTTCAGAGTCAGGGTTGGCTGGGTGAGGAGCTTGGAAGGTTCAAGTAAGGGATTCATGGGATATTGGCTGTTGTGTTGAGCTCCTAGCATCCAGGCAAGCACAGGTGTTGAGTCAAAGTAACGACGACAACAGTCATGACAGTTTTGTACTAGAGGTGCAAGAAGTAGCAGTTGCCGTACGCAGTAGTGGAAGAAGTGAAGAGCAGTCGGAAGTAGACGGGCGCAGAATAATTCTGGTGGTCAGGCTACACGGCCCCATGTGTAACTTGCTTCATTTGGGTTTTCTGCTGCTGGCTTGGATCCTGTTAGCTCGGCCGGGCAGGTATGGTGAGCTTGGTACGCAGCTTATGAGAGCAGGCCATGAAATGAAGTGCTAAAACCCAGGCTCAAGTTTCTGCATACCTTGAGAACTCCAGGGCAAAAGAACCGATTCACCTGCAAGATGATCCCCATGTGCCCTGGGTGAAGCTTCGAAAAAGTTTGTGCAGCGTGTACTATCCGATACCGAAGGTCCACGGAGCCCTCATTCAAGCCCCTGAGCGGTGAACCCGAAACCCTGCTAGACTGCAGACTATTGGCCCTAAATCTTTCAGTTGTCTTCAACCCCAAAATCCCTGAACGTCCTCAACCCCCGAAATTCCCACGGCCCAAACCAAAAATCCCCACAAACTAAACGGCATACTTCCTAGAAAAACTCAACCCCTCTTCTCAAGAAGTACAGTTGTATTTCTCACTTGTTTGGGGGAGGCTGGAGCTTCCAGCAGCCTCGGGCAGCTCCTTGATGAAGCGGAGGACGTGTACTTTGGGCTGGGTCTGGGGTGTAAAGGGTTGAGGGTGAGATCTAGGGTTTAGGTCATGGGATTTAGGGCGCATTTAGTTTTGGGTGTGGGTTTCGGGGTTTAGGGTATGCGGTTTCAACCTTACATTGTAGGCCTCGCAGCACTAAGTATCCTGTGTGTCTCAGGATTCGCTCCCTTCATAGTCTGCCTGCGCA